CCAGCAACCTGGCTCACACTGGTTGCCCCACCCTGGTGATTCCCTGAGGCCCTGCCCCACCCAACTTTCAGGCCCACCCAAGCTGTTGCCAGTTACTTAACCATAGGATTGGCCTGTCTTGGATCCTGCTTCAGGTTTTCCTAAATTCTTTCAAACAAGCAGCATCTGGTCTCAGCTAGCCCCATACCTCTTGTTAAGTAATACACGGAAACAAACACAGGGAGGCAACAAAAATGAGGAGACAAAGAAACAGGTCCCAAATGAAAGAACAGAATGAAACTACAGGAAAAGAATTAAGTAAAATGGAGATAAGCAACCTAACAGATGCTGAGTTCAAAACACTGCTTATAAGGATGCTCAATGAACTTAGTGAGAACCTCAGTGAACTTAGTGAGGGCCTCAAGAGCATCAAAAAGGACCAGTCAGAAATGAAGGATGCACAGTCAAAAATGAAGGAGGCACTAACTGAAATAAAGAATAATTTACACAGATTCAATAGTAGAGTAAAGCCAAGAAGCAAACCATCGATTTGGAATATAAGGAACAAAAAGCACCCAATCAGAACAGCAAAAAGAAAAAAGAATCCAAAAAAATGAGGATCGTGTAAGGAAACTCTGGGACAACTTCAAGTGTGCCAACATTCGCATCCTGGGTGTGCCAGAAGGAGAAGAGAGAGAACAAGAAATCGAAAACCTATTTGAAACAATGACAGAAAACTTCCCTAATTTGGTGAAGGAAACAGACATACAAGTCCAGGAAGCACAGAGAGTCCCAAACAAGATGAACCCAAAGAGGTCCACACCAAGACACAGCACCATCAAAATGCCAAAGGTTAAAGACAAAGAGAGAATTTTAAAAGCAGCAAGAGAAAAGCAGTTAGTTACCTACAAGGGAGTTCCCATAAGACTGTCAGCTGGTTTCTCAAAAGAAACTTTGCAGGTCAGAAGGGAGTGACAAGAAATATTCAGAGTGATGAAAAGCAAGAACCTACAACCAAGATTACTCTATCCTGCAAAGCTGTCATTTAGAATCAATGGCCATATAAAGAGTTTTCCAGACAAGAAAAAGTTAAAGGAGTTTATCACCACCAAACCATTATTATATGAAATGTTGAAGGATCTTTTTGAAGAAAAAGATAAAATATATGAACAAACAAAATGGCAATGAATACATATTTATTGACAATTGAATCTACAAACAAAATGAACAAACAGAACAGAAACATTCTCATAGATACAGAGAACATTTTGTTGGTTGCCAGATGGGAGGGGGTTGGGGGAATGGTGAAAAAGGTGAAGGGATTAAGAAGTACAAATTCATTGCTAGACTGACAAATCTCAAAGGGAAGGGGGTTGAGGGGTGGGAATAAATAAACCAAAGAACTTATATGCATAACCAATGGACACAGACAATAGTGTGGGAAAAGGCAGGAGGGGGGCGGGAGTGGGGAGGAGGGGGTCAATGGGGGGAAAATGAGGAACATCTGTAATACATTCAACAATAACGATAAAATTTTAAAAATAAAATAAAGTATTCCTTCTAAAAAAAAAAATGTTCCTACCCTATGTGGCACCTTTGGGCAAATTAGAAAAAGGCATCCACTCCTCAAGACTTTTCCATTTTGTTGGAAAATTGTAGTAAAATACTGTTTTAAAAAAAATCCTTACTCAAGGATATTTTTCTATTTATCTTCAGATAGCAAGGGACGAAGGGAGAGAGTGAGAAACATTGATGTGAGAGAGATGTATCTCTCACATCGACTTGTTGCCTCCCACACGAACCACAACCAAGGTATGTGCCTTTGACCAGAATCAAACTCGAGACTCATTGGTCTGCAGGCTGACGCTCTAACCGCTGAGCAAAACCGGCCAGGGCCCAAACTCTTTTTGTCTTTTCCCAAATCAGTATCCTTGATAAACTTCAAATTGTACTAACATTTGCTAGTTCCTCTATTTTTTAGGCACTCCGCCAGAGATGTACACACCTTTTCTCACTTCCTTCACTCAGCCATCCATGAAGTATTTCCTATTTTCATCTTTATTTTACAGAGGTGATGTGAGGCCCAGAGAGAGATCTTCTTGCTTGATTTGAACATGGTACCACAGTAGCTCCTGCTGCCCAAGTCCCTTGTTTGTTTGTGTTTTTTCTTTTTTTTTTTTTTTTAGCTTTGTCAGTGTTGTACAATAGAATTTTATACAACGATGGAAATATTTTATATCTGTACTGCCCAATAATCACGTGGCTATAAAGTACTTGAAACGTGGTCAGTGTGACTGAGGAACTGAATTTCTAATTTAAATAATTACATGTGGCCAGTGGCTTTTGTATTTGCAGCACAGCTCCAAATCAGTGGTCTCCAAATAGGGGTCCACACAGCCCAGGGAGGGCACAGAATATGCAAAGTGCAGAAACACACACACACACACACACACACACACACAATTTTAAGTCACTAGTACTGATCTTTTCTGTATGTTTTGTAATGTACCTAACATATTAGGTATATAACTTTTGTATATAATATATATTGTATATAATAATTTTTATATAACACATAGCACTTACCACTTTGCTTTACAAATATTAACTCATTTAATCTTTATAATGACATTGTTGGGTAGATACTTTTATTATCCTCATTTTACAAATGAAGAAACTAAGGCAATATTTGGATGTGCCTAAGGATACAGGTAGTTGATGGTAAAGCCAAGATTTGAGTACATTAACTTTTAAGTCCATGCACTTAAGGGTAAACTAGATAATACTCTATACTAGACCTTAATAATGAATGAGACAGCAATTCCTAATCTCAAATTTTAAAGGTACTTTGAAGATGATCAAATCCCCCCCCCCCCCCCCTCCCGCAGATGTTGCTCTCCATCTAGAGGGCTGTGAGGATGAATGAAAGTGCGGCAGGGTACGGTGAGTGAAGAGTCATCCATAATCGTCTACAGAGACAATTATTGTGTGATCATGATCCTATAAGTTTCCCCCTTTAAAAAAAGTTTATCCTTACCAGTTTTGTTACTTTTTTTTTTTTTTTTATCCTCACCCGAGGATATTTTTCCATTTTTTTTGTACAGATAGAGTGGGAGGGAGAGAGAGGAAGGGAGAGAGAGAAACATCGACGTGAAGGGACACATCGAGTGGCTGCCACCCGCACGACCAACCAGGGCCGGGGACAAACTGCAACCGAGGTACGTGCCCTTAGCGGGAACCGAACCCGGGTCTCTCCGGACCGCAGGCTGACGCTCTAACCGCTGAGCCAAACTGGCCAGGGCTTGCTTGCTTTTTTTTTAAGAGCTTGTTTCTGAGACACTGAAGTAGGGCAGGATGGGAAGCTGAAGACCTGGAGTGGGTAAAATCCCAGACCCACGACCTGTTCGTGTTCTCTCGATGAGTGCTGTTATGTGCACCTTTGTTGCTGGTGGCTCTAATTCAAATGTAATCAGACAAAGGTAAAAGATCCCTGAAAGAGATCAATGGAGAAGATAAATTTACCCAAATCTAATTTCCACCTATGCACTTTGTGTGGAGTATTTGGTCGTCCCACACCCAGTTCCTTGTCTATCCCAGAAATCTCCGGCATCTCTCCACGTACTCACTAGCGTACTTAGCAAACAGCTGCCGTTGTATAAAAGAAAAAGGGCCGGTTTAATCTCACGTACTATCGTTAGTTTCCAGGTACGTGAAGTACTGGATGAGATTTTGCGTCATCAGAGAAAAGTTTTGGAAGGACCAGAGATCTAAGGCAGGGGATAAAGCCAAGTACTTAAAAAAAAAAAAAAAAAGGCGGAGGTGGGCTGTGCAGAATACGAGGGTCTGTGTGGTGCAGCGGTCCTCTCGGTTTCAGGCCCTAGGAATTTCAGGGAAAGCAAAGGAAGACGTGCCGAGGGGGATCACCCAGCTAAGCGAGAGTAGCAAACAAACGTCCACCCGGCCGCCTTTGAGTGTCTAAATCCAAAGCCTTTCTTTCCCGGCTTCCAAAATTCTTGAGTTCCTGGGGAGGGCCGTTTGGTGGTGGGAGAGAGGGGGCCCACCCTTCCAATCTGCCTAAGAACTTCACAGACGACCAACAGCCCTTTTCCGAGGCTTGTGAGAGCCAGGCAGGCCAGGTAAGCCGGCTCACGTGCACCAAAACTGCTCGGGAGCGCGCTGCCCACACTGGGCGGAGGAACCAATCCCAGGCCTGACGGCCTAGGTGGGTGTGGCCTCCGAGGTGGCCCCGCCCCCTCGAGCGTGTCGCGCGGGGCCCCACGGGCGGGGCGAGGGAACCGGCAGGAAAGGGCGGGGAGCGTGCGGTGTGGGTGTGCTCGTGCCCGCGCGCTCGCGCTCGCGCCTGGTGTGTGGGCGGTGGCGCGCCCGTGCGCGCGCAGAAGAGAGACCAGCCCAGGCGGCAGTAGTGGGGTTCGACTGGGGGGGGCGGGGGAGTCACCTGAGAGCGGCTACGCCCGTTGCTCGCTCGCCCGCCGCGTCCGGAACGCGCCGGCTGCGTGGGGCCGCTAGCCGCACACCCTGGAGACCGGGGCTGGGAGCGGGCAGAGTCCGCGTCCGGCTCTCGGGACGAGGAGGAGTCGGACCTTGGCTGCTGCCGCTGCCGCTGCCGCGCCCGGCCGGGTAAGTGAAGGCTGGGTTGGCTGTCCGCCGGCCCCTGGCGGGTCGGGAGAGGAGAAGCGAAACTTTCCGGCGCTTCGCCCCGCGGTCCCCGGGCCGTCCTTTGCGCGGGGAGGTGTCGTCGTCGCGGGCGGCGGCGGCGGCCGACGCCATGTTGGGGTCGGTGAGAAACGGGGCGCTCCCGGGCCGCTCCCTGGTTGCTCCCCTCGCGCTGGGGCCGTCCCGCGGCGCCCGAGTCCGCCGCGCAGCCCGCAGGACGCCGCCGCCGCCGCCGCCGCTGGCGGGCTCGGGAGCTGCCCGGAGGGTCCGCGGGTCCCTGGGGCGGGGGGCGGGCGGGCGGGCGGACGCTCTAAGCGGGCCCCGAGTCGGGCTAGAAGTTGTGGGGCTTGAGGACTGGGGTCCCAGTCGTGGCCAGGGCGTCTCAGGGCCCCGACACATTTCTGTCCAAAAGTTTGCAGCGTCTGGGCATCAGGGACGTTGTAACTTGAACAGCATATTTTAAGTGACTTGGGGCAAAAAATGGCACCGCAGGATTTGCTCTGATAGAAGCGATGGCTCATGCACATTATTTACTTGGAATCTAAAAGTTTTGGGGTCTTTGCCTAATGAATTTCCCCCCTTTACAATTTTTATTGAAGGCCGACGACAGTTTGCTGTGCATGTTGCTTTGAATACCCTTGTGTGCTCTTAGTACATGATACCAATAACGTGTGTGCGCTGGAGATGACTTGTATTAAGGTTGCCGATAACTGAACCCTTCCCTGTAATTCTTAGATTCACAGGGGATGTAAGTTAAGTGCCTTCTGTTGTGTTTCAGTACGTGACTGAAGAGGCTCGTTAAAGAAAGATTTAGACAGGAATGCTGACCGAGAGACTTAAAGGCATATGTTGTTCTCTTAACAGGGTGAAGTGATCCTGATATTCCGAAGTTTTTTCCTCTCTTTGGTTCCTTAAAGGTGCATGCCTGCCATGTTTTGAGCATTTAACTTTTTCTGTACTCTGGTAGCTTATGGGGTCCTCAGGTTAATTCAGTATTAACGAAGGCTTCTATTTTTAATCTCTTCTGGTCCTGACAGCACTCGAGGTGAATAGTATTAAGTTACTTATTTGGAAAGCACATATAATCGCGTCAAAAAATAAAACTGGTGTGTATTGGCCAGGGCATCAAAATAAATTCAGCTGGAATTACCCCAGTAAATGAATATGAATTGCTGTTTTTTTAATAAAGGCATCTTAGCTTTACAATTCTGTTCAATTAACTGACAGGACACATAAGTACATATATGATAAACCCTAAAACGGGTCTTGAATACGTTATTTTCTTAATCTATAGTTGAAAATACAGTTTATGCTCAGATTTGATTGCTAATCTTCTTACTTCTTAAAAAACAATAACAAACTTTCCTTTTTGTTTTGCTTCACTATCAAGTAAATACTGGTTTTTTTTCGATGAAGAATTATCTAGAAATGAGGTGACTTAACTACCTTTACAAATCTAGCAGCCAAACTGGTATTTAACTCAGGTCTTATGGCTCTGAAGCCTTTTCATTTTTCCTATAGCACAATTGTGTAGAATGCAATACTCGTTCCTGTGCAACAGTCTCTGTCCACCTTGTTTCCTGTGTCTCACTGCTCTTTCTGATTTTAATTTAGTTTCTCAGTGTAAATACTTATTTTCTAGAGAGCTGATTTACAAGGGTTCTTGTACTGAAAATTTTTCTCTTAAAAATACTCACTTAAGTATATATATTCTTTGAAGCCTTTTCTGCCCTGTTCTCCTTAACCCCAACCCCTTTCTCTCCCCAAGAATAATTCACTTATTCCATGGCATCCCAGTAAATATTACAGTGACCTTTCATGGCACCTCCTTGACAGCAAGCTTTGCTGGTCTGTGTTGCCTTTCCAACCCCATTGAGCAGAGAACATAGCAGATGCTCAGGAAAGGTTTGAGTGGATGAGTACACATGTTCCTTGTAAATATATTTCATGAATTTCTTACTAAATTTCAATTTCCATGGGTATAGAAATTCTCTAATTCCTTTTTTAATATATATATTTTTTGAGAGTTTACCTTGGTAACTCAGATTTTGGCCTGGGGATAAAGACCTTCAGTGTTTATGAAGTTTCCAAGTAGATGATGGACTGAAATATAATCAACAAAGAAGCCATGGATCAACAAAAGGATAATAATCAGAATTTTAAAGTACGGTTGAATTTATTTGCACTGGATGGAAATAGAGTTAATTCCAAAACATTTTGAGTCATGTTTATACATTTAAGCTCTTTGATAGAGCAGATCTCATTTTTCTACCAGTTATTATTTTGTCAGAATTGTCTTAGGATATTGCCTTGCTTAATGGAAAGCGTATAAAAATTGCTTTTCTATTGATAAATTTATCTTTGAGAACCAGCTTTGTACACCAGCTGTGTGCTTAATAGCAGTGTGCATGTTGCTTTAACTGAGTAAAATGTGCTTCATAGCTATGCTTTCATAGTGCTATTTTATAAGTTGCAAGACCCCTGTAGGTGAAGGTATTCTGTAATTCTGTAATGAAATTACTGTAGAATTTGAGGTTAATTCTTTGCCCCAACCATGATAACTTTCTCTCCAGTGAATCCATAAACCACAAACTGGTGTGCTCAATTAGGTGGTTGCTGTGAATGCTAGAGAAAGCAAGTTGCATTAGGGTGAACTGGAACAAAAAAAGCAAACCTGAATTCTAGCTCTGCTGCTTACTAGCTTGTGACTCTTGAACAAGTCCCTTCACTTTCCTAAGCTTTACTAGACACAGAAGTACTTGCCTCACAGTGTTGTGAGGATTTACTATGAAGTTTGTGGAAGTGCCTGGTGTATAATATTTAGCAAAGTATATTAACAGAGTGACAGTGAATTATTCAGAAGCAAAGAATTTAAAAAATTTAAAAGGGAGGTAACCTTTAGAGATACTTAGTTCAGTTCTCAAGCTTGTTTGCACATTAAAATTCCCTGAGTAGCTTCTTAACAATACTGATGCATAAACTCCACCCTAGAACAAATAAATCAGAATTACTGGGTTTGGGTAATAGGTAGTTTTACCTTTCTTTTTTTGCACTCATGATTTTAATGTGCAATTGGGGTTGAGCACCATTGATTTAATTCAATTTCCTATCCTTATTTTCTTCATTTTGTGATGGAATAAAGTGCAGAGAGAGGTAAGTGCTAGCCGTATTCCTTTCATACATGCTAGAAAAGGTGTATTTGCAGTGGAGAAAGTGAAGAGCATACATGTTAAAGTAATAGTTATATTTATTTCAGACCTCCACACTACATCAAATCCTGCATGGATGACCGAGTTATTTAACCTTGTCATCATTCCGAACTACCTCTAGTCTTAAGCTCTGTGGCTAGAGATGGTAGTGATTCAAGGCCTTTCTATGTATTTCTGTTTTCTGTCATACTTGATGAACAAGCTTTTAGTCTTCGTTGTCACCTCCAGTCCCTCCCAGGTTGTTAGTTTTCTTCCTTGTTTGCAGTCCTGAACTCTGTAGTTCCCATTCTAACTGTGAACTCACTAAGCACTGGGTAGTCCTCCTCTCCTTCACCCTTGCTGTTTATAACTGGTTAATTCTCAACTAGTAAATTTCACCATTTACTTTTTCTACTTCTGTCCCTGCCTAGCATCCCTCGAAAAAGTCACAGTGCTGGTGACTGTTAAATACTTGTTTTCTAGCTACGTGTGTATTGATTGCTTTCTCATCTTTTTTTTTTTCATCCCAAAGTTGACTCATTTTCTCTATTGCTTTTGCACTCTAATTCAGGTTGCTAACCCCGATCTTGAAACTCTTGACTCTTAACAGGTGACTTTACTTCCTTCAAAATGATTAAGATTTTATGATGTGAGTTTTTATATTTGTTTCATTTAAACACTAAGTAGTCAGGGGAAAATCAAAATGATTTTTGTATTTTTGTTTATAGTTTTATGAATTGTACCTATAACTTTCTGTTTGCTTAGTACACTTATATTTTTCTATACATTCTTCTTTGCATTTTGTTAATTAAAAATCTTTTTTCTTTCTTTGTTTATGAGAGAATGTGTTCATTATAAAATAATTAGGCAGTAGCAAAATATTTCACCCTAGTACATAGATATTATCAGTACTAAATTTTTGGTGTGTATCTTTCCAGACTTAAACAAAAGAGCTTTCTATTATATGTACTGTGTAAAAACCGTTATTTAATATATTTCCTTATTTAACATTTTTTTCACTTTAAATATTAATTTGTGTTCTCTCAAAAGCTGTCTAGAAATCCATAATATGGATATGCCATAATTTACTTAACCCATCTTCTCTTGTTGAACGTTTAGATTGTTTCTGTTTTTTTTAGCATTATATTTTATGTGAACAACTTTGTACAGTGGTCTAATTATTTTTTGCATTCTTGGAAATAGAATTGTATGAACTTTCCAAAGTGCTTATGTTACCAAAAATGGCATTTAGAAAAGTTGTTCCAGTGTGTACTTTTAAGACTATGAGTGCCCATTTCCCCCACATTTTAGGTGAGTAATAATACATCACTTTAATTTTTACTTCTTGGAGAGGCAACCTTTTCCTATTTAGTAGTCATTTTCATTTGTTCTTTTGAAATTGCTATTTGTATCTTACCCATTTTTCTTTTGGGATATTTTCTTACTGATTTATAGGAACCCTTTATTAAAAATGTTCACCCTTTGTCATACGTTGGAAATGTTTTTCTTTAATGCTTTTCTCCCCTCAGTGTTGAAGTTCTAAAATTTTATGTGGTAAAATGTTTTCTTTTACGATGTTTGGCTTTTTCATGTTATGTTTATCTATTTCTTTCTATGGCTAGAAATTTAGGTTCTGTTTTTCACTGTTAGAGTTATGCCAGAGGGAAACTTTTTATATACAACATTCTCCATCTGCCCCCCCCCCCACGTTTATTTCTCAGGATAAATTTCGATGGTTAAAAGTTGAGAGGTTAAAGGGTAGTGCCTGTGTAGCATCCCCCCCAAAAGTCACAGCTGTGGTACAGCATTTAGGATTTAGGAACCAACTGAAGATGTGGATGAAAAGTGAGTATAAGATGACTTCAGAGGTTTAAGCATCAGCCATTGGTCAGATGCTAGTTTTGTTTCAGGAGGAAGATGAAATCAGTTTGGGACATATTTATCTTGAAATAACTTCATGGTATCCATGAGACAAACATTTGTCAGACAAATAAAAATACCAGGATGAGCAGAGAGCCCTAGGATAGAAAGAGATTTTAGTAGTTACCCACAGAACTAATTGATGCTATGGAAAAGAGAAGAGGGCCAAGGACTAAACTTTGGGGGAACACCTAGTTTAGAAAGTAGGAGGAGAAGCAAGAGAAGAGAGAAGGGGAGACAACAGAGCAGTATAAAACACTTTCAACATGCTTTCACATGTTTCACAAGTCTCAGAGACTAAATAACCTTATTGTGCCAAAGGTCACAGTAAGCAGTAAAACCCATGGAAAAATTGAAAAATAATGGTAATGTATAGTAAATTATTTCTGCTATCAATTATTGTGGCTCAGGCTTTCATCACCATTTGCTTAGAGACTGCTATAATACCTTTTATTCTCTCTTCAATTTTGCTTCTTCAGTAGTCTCTCCAGTCCATCCTAGATACTGGTTTTGTGTACTAATTAATATTTTCCTATTTAAAAACCTTTGTTTTTCTGTTGTCTATATAAGAAAATCTAAACTCTTCAGTCTGATGCCTGCTTACCTTTGCAGTTTGGCTTTTCCCCATCTTACCAGATTTGTATTCTACCACTATACTTTCTCCTGGCTGTACCTCCTCCAGCCTGGGCTCAGCTGTTTCCTCTCTGGAGAATTCATTTACATATCATCATCCCCTGACCAACTATTTTTGATTTAAGGCCCAGCTTGAATTTCTAGTCATTTAAGAGTTCTTCCTAGGTTTCCCACTGATCAGAATTACCTCCCAACTAAACCTTTTGGCCCTATGTGTCATCTTTTATTTTTATAAATTAAAAAAAAAGTTGTTTTTGGTTTGTTTCTCTTCTACTCCTTTAGACTTTGAGTCCACACATTTGAGTTAATCATATTCCTCTATCCATAGCATACTTCATGGATACCAAAACCCCTTTCTTGTTTTGTTTTTTCCTTCTTTATCAATCAGTTACTTCTATAATGCTCTTTCCTACAGAAACACATGCTAATGTATAAAACATGAATTATATATACTTGGGTATATAAACCTGGGAATAGAGCTTTCTTTTCTTCTTCACAAAGATTGTTAGTTTTTTGTTTTAGTTGTAATCCTCACTCGAGGATATTTTTCTATTTATCATCAGATAGAGTGGGAGGGAAGGAGAGAAAGAGAGAAAAACATTGATGTGGGAGAGACACATCCACTGGTTGCCTCCCGCACAACCCAGCCAAGGCCCAAGATGAACTGCAACTGAGGTATGTGGCCCTTGACCGGAATCAAACCAGTGACTCACGGTCTGCGGGCTGACGCTCTAACCACTGAGCCAAACCGGCCAGGGCAAGGTTGTTAGTTTTGAGTGTTTCTATCTTTTAATACTACTTTGTAAAGAGTAAGTGGCCAATAAATGTTTTCTACTTGAAAATCATTGAAAATTATTGCTGGTTTTACTAGCTTTCATTTTGCTTAGACGAAAAACCTGGGGATTTAATTTCAGCTTTATTCTTCCACATCTAGTTAGGGGAATTCTGAACCTAACCTACTCTTCTCCTGTTGCAAACTTCAGACTCTCATCAACTTTCCCCTTTACTTTTGCAATAATTTTTCAACTGGGTTCTGTTTTCAGACTCTCCCTTCTCACTTTATCTTTCATTAGAAAAATCTAGATCAAATCAGGCCACTCCTTCCAAAAGCTTCAGAAAGAACTCTCAGGAACCAACTAAATTTTATTTTTTCTCCCCAGTTTTTCCACTAAATAATTCCCTCCAGTGTCGACTGCAGCTGTGCATGTGACTTAAAAAAAAACCCACATGCAACAACCGCTGCACATTTTCAGTTGCAGAGCTTTGTGCCTTTACTTACCATTTTTTGCCTTTTGAAGTTCCACTGATCGTTCACAACCATTTTCAAGTATTCATATGCTATATTCTCCAAGCCATGTCTTTACTCTTTCCTTCTTAGCTTGCTTACCACTTTGTTATTGTGCTTTGTATTAAAACCGTGTGGTACATGTCTTAATTCCCAGTGCCTGGTTCATTCTCTTTTCTTTCTAACCCAAAACATAAAGCCTTAAAAATGTAGTGAGCAGATTGTAACTACTCTGAAAAAATACTAACGAGCCCTGGCCGGTTTGGCTCAGCGGTTAGAGCGTCAGCTTGAGGTCCAGAGAGACCCGGGTTTGGTTCCCGCTAAGGGCACGTAACTCGGTTGTGGTTTGTCCCCGGCCCTGGTTGGTCATGCGTGTGGCAGCCACTCGATGTGTCCCTTTCACGTCGATGTTTCTCTCTCTCCCTCCCACTCTATCTGAACAACAAATGGAAAAATGTTCTCAGGTGAGGATAAAAAAAAAAATACTAAAGAAAATTTGTTAGGAATGTGATGGGATAACCAGTTCCACAATAGTATTTTAGTTGAGCTTTGCCAGCTTAATTTTTCAAATATTAAACAATGGTTTCTAATAGCTGTCAGCACTGTACAGCTGCCCCTGTACAAATACTTTTTGAAATGGTGCAGTTTTTTATCTGAATTTTGTTGATGATGAAAATAAGCACACATTTTTTTATTTGCTAACTAAACAGCTGTGCTTTTTGGCGAGAGAAGAAATCATTTTTATATTTTATGAGATTGAGATTTTCTTAAAAACAAGATCTGTTGTGCTCAATATTTAGAATTCATAATTAGATACTATAGTTAAATTGGCCAGAACGTTTGCTTGTAAATTTAAAATCTGTGGGTCTAGTGAAGCATTTCATGTTTGGGGTATGGTTCCTGTTTTCTGTGAAAATTAGTGTATATGTCAAAAATAGCCCTGGCCAGTTTGGCTCAGCGGTTAGAGCGTTGGCCTGCGGTCCGGAGAGACCCGGGTTCGGTTCCCGCTAAGGGCACGTACTTCGGTTGCAGTTTGTCCCCGGCCCTAGTTGGTCGTGTGGGTGGCAGCCACTCGATGTGTCCCTTCACGTCGATGTTTCTCTCTCTCTCTCCCTTCCTCTCTCTCCCTCCCACTCTATCTGTACAAAAAATGGAAAAATATCCTCGGGTGAGGATAAAAAAAAAATAAATAAATAAATAAAAAATAAAGTCTTTTAAAGTCTGGTGGAGAAGCTGCTGCCACTTTTAAGCTTGTCTTATTCAGCTTAGTGTACCTTGTTGGCATGTATATGCAAGAATTTTTGTAGGTGCTGTTGGGAATACAAAGTTGTAGGAAATAGTCTTGTTTTCAGGATCCTTTAGATGTGTTGGGAATAAGCAGATACACAAATCTTTATAAAACGTAATAGAATATAAATGCCATAAAGTTGTACAGATAAAATGGTGTGAGGACTTAAAGATGAAACTGTATCTGGCTGTGAGACTACTGAACTGACTGCATCTTGAAGACTTGATAATATTTCAGAAAAGCAGGGGAGGGAGGACATACTAGCCCAGAGGTAGGGGAGGAAGCCTAGAGCATATTCTGGGGAATAGCTAGTAGTCTGGTTTGACTGTAACAAAGAGGACATATAGAAAGAGGTAAAACTGGAACAAGAGACTGAGACAGGCTGGGGCTTGACTGTGAAGGGCATTAAATATGAGGTTAAGGATTTTGGATTTAGTTTGGTCAGGAAACCATTGGTTTAATATTAATTTTGCCTGTGTGATAAAGACAAGAGAGAGGACTTGTTTAAAACTTAAGGTGCATATTCTTAACCTCTCTCCTGCCTTTCTAAAGAAAGATCACAAATTTGTAACTCCCAATGTGGCTGTTCTGGATTTTCAAATTAATTTTCTAAAATCCTCAACTATGACTTAGTTGTTCTTTATATACCATGGTGAGTTTTTCTGTCAAGCCTAACCTATTTGAAACTGCCTGTACTGACACCCTAAATTAGTCACAGCTTTACTTCTCATTTGAAGACTCCTTTTGAGCATATTTTATACTTATTACCGTATGCTTTAAATTTTTTCTTTTATTTATCAGTGGCTTTCCCCAAATACATGATAAAGTCCATATAAGTCAACTATTCCTAGAATACTTATTTCTGAAGGTAGCAAAATATAATGGAAAGAACATGCATTCTTAAAATAAAAACTAGTTGTGAAACCATGGGAAAATAGCCCATAACTCAATTTACTTTTTTGTGAAATGGATCACTTAACAAAATTGAAGTTATTAAACAAAATAGTAAAATGTGGACATGTCTAGCATATGTATAGGTTTTGAATAATTGTTAGTTTTTCTTCATTTTTTTCTTTCTTGGCTAAGACTGTAGCATGTTTGAGTCTACTTTACAGCAATAGGAATATTTGGTGCCTAGGAAAGATTTAAAAATTATCGCTTCTCACTATCAAAGTTTTGATGGTTCAGTTCTCTTCAATCCAGCTTTACATGAGTTTAAAATTAAAATATAAAAGCTGTTTTTTTCCTCCTAAAAAATGAACCTGTTTCCTTTATTACTGTTAACTTCTCCAATATATATTGTGTAGTTGGTTTACCACAGTGACAGAAATCCTGGTGGAAAGAGCAGGAAAAAACTTTGTCTTTTCTTATTGATGGAATAAGCAAAATTTACTAAAATTCTAAATTTAATTTGCTGAACTTTCAAGTATTTTTTCTTTATCATTCTATTATTTTATTGAAAGTCTTACCTATAATTTATTATTATGCTTACTAAACTATAGAATTTTTGAAATTAAGAACTATCTTGTTCTTTGCATACAGTAGGTACTCAAAATAATTGTTCATTATGACTTAGATGCATTAGGAGAGGGTGTAGTTTGCTCTGATACTTACACATGTGTAAGTAGTTTGTTGTTTGTTTTTATCTTTTTTTCCCCCTACTTTCCTGTTTCTCTCTTTCCTTTTACATTTTTTGTAAAGTCGCAATTTAACAGCAACATAGATTTTTAAAATACTGATTCTTACTAAGACAGTCAAAAGTTTGGTTAAAAATTCATAGGTCCCTGGCTGGTGTGGCTCAGTGATTGAGTGTGGACCCATGCACCAAGAGGTCACTGGTTCGATTCCAGGTCAGGGCACATGCCCAGGTTGTGGGCCAAATCCCCAGTGGGGGACATGCAGGAGGCGGCCAATCTGCCAATCGATGTTCTCTCTCATTAATGTTTCTCTCTCTCTCTCTCCCTTCCTCTCCCTCTAACATCAATAAAGAAAAAAAAAATTCATAGTCAAGCAAGGTTTGCTGCTGTTGCTCCCTCCCTCCTCTCCTCCCTGCCCCCTCCTCCCCTCTGCTTCTTCCTTCCTCCTCCCCCTTTTCTTCTTCATCTGTCTTTTGTGTGCAATCTCTTACTCAGGGTCTGAGCTAAAATTAGAATCCAGGTCTTTTGGTTCATAGGTCATTGCTATTTTCATTGTAATGCACAGTTGAATACTGAAGCTCACTGATATCAGATGTCATGGGTACATGTAAGAAAATAATTAGATGATTTTTTGTTTTAACTCACCTTCAAGGATGAGATAAGTAGTATTGGTTTTCAGTAAGAAGAACTAGGCCATAGTATTTTGTGACAGTTGGACTCTCTTCTCAATTGTAAATAGTATTCTTTCTCTTTTTTTAAAAAAGTTTTTAACTCTTCTAGTGTTACATTTTTATCAAGTGGTGAGCTGCTCCACTGAAGAACATACTACTTTAGAAGCAAGATGTTACCAAAAGACTAGGGTGGAAGTTGGACAAATGCAGTCCTTGTTTATATTTGTAAAGGAGATAACTTGAAACTTTGAATTGTTTGATTTTTAAAATTGGAATACAAAGCTGGCTTTATGAAAGTTATGAGATTTGGGAGGTGACGTGCTTTTGCTATGGTTTTTTACTTTTAACTGTGAATTAAGACTTCCAGATACATTTGTTGGAAAAGAAGACAAAGTCAATTGGAAAACTGTTGGAATTTATGGAGTTCTGTAAAGTGGCTAGATGTGGAGAACTCCCCTCCTCCTGAAATGTAAAGGTTTCTTATCAATGGTAGTAACGAATTAAAAGATAAAATGTAGAAAAGAGAACAGATTCAAGATAGCAACAAAAACTATAAAATACCTGGGGAACCTACTTAAGAAATGAAACAATCTTGTGAGAAGAAACCTACAGAACTACTGGGCCACCAAAAGGATTAGAAACCTTAGGAAGAGACAGTATCAACCTGGCTAGGAACACTCAAAACTATAGATGTTAATGTATTGCAAATTAATTTATGAGTGTAAGTTGAGTCCCACAGACTTTGAGTGGGTTTTATCTGTTTATTTTTTCATTTATTTATTGTAATTGAAAAATGGTTCTAAACCTTAGCTGCACATAAGAATTATCTGGGGCGCTTTAAAATATTCCAGTGCCCAGACCATGCTCCACATACTCTAGACCAATAAAATCAGAATATCTGGGGGAGGAATCTAGTATCAGTATTTCTTAACTCTTTCTGATTATCATCAGAGTCTAGTGGTCTAAATTTTGTTATAGTTCTAATTATTTGTAGCAATAGATATTTTGTAACTTTAATTATTTCTAAGAGATCTTTAAAATAAAAAGGAAATTTAGTTTTAAAGAATAGAATAGAACTCATTCTAGGTTACAGTTACCACGGGTTCATTGGATATCTAAGATTATGGGATTTTAGTGAAATGGAAGAGGGATGTAATTGCCTATATGATGATGCAATGATGAAATAAATTGTCATTGTACCATCTTTCAGTTTAATTACTGCATAGCCCAAAAGCATCATCTTTCAAGAAGCTATAAAAGCAGTTTGGACATATCCTTGTTAGTCTTTTTGTTTGTTTGGTTTAAGCTTTCATTTAACATGTTTGAAATTTTAGATTTCTTCATTTTTCATTTTCTATCTTTAATAGGAAAGAAAAAAATTGGGAAAGATAGATATTTCAGAACTATTAGACAAGTCAGAAGATGAGTGCAAAAAACAGCAACACCTAAACCAATGATGGTGAAGTGTTATAAGTGAAATCTCAGACTGTGAGTCTTCAGATAATGATTTCTTCTTAAACTTGGAATTAATGAGGAAACAATATTTCGAAAGACAAAGATGAACATGTGGGTTTGAATTGCACAAGTCTACCTATGTGCAGATTTTTTTTCCCAATAAATACCTGTGTTGTTTTCATCTGTGGTTGTGAGTCCATGATGCAGAGGGCCAACTGTATGCATTGCTCTAGGACATTTTATACTGGGGACTTGGGCATTCACAGATTTTCATATCTGTGGCTGGAACCAGTCCCCCACGGATACTAAGTGACAACTTAAGCTTTGGGGGAGTCAGAAGTTAAACACTGATTTTCGACTGCACAGGGGGTCAGTGCCCCAACACCACTGTTTAAGAGTCAATTGTTTTAATGATTTATGCTTGAGAGCTTATGAGCAGATAGTTGTATTCAAAGAATGCTACTGTTTTGGAAAAACATACCTTCACTACCAGAGAAATATGGAATAAGAAATTTGCTATGTTTAAATTTTGATATTTAGATTGCTCTTAAAGTTAATTATTTTTTTTTTACTATCCCTTTAGTTTTATTTCTATGGATTAGTTACAAAGTGGCTTAGAATATTAAAAATAAAAAGGGTATTCTGGACCCAGATAGTAAATTGGGTTGACTGTTTTTCCTGGTATACTGAAGGCAAATGCTTCTCTGTGGTCCTAGTGTTTAGCTAAGGTTGAGAACCACTATTCTTAGTAGACTTCATCTGGACAAATAAACAGAGAAGATTAAGTAAAACGTTTTTGAAAGGTTAAGTAATGGGGATAGTCTAGACTAGTTCTACCAGATGAATGGTACTGACACAAGAATTATAAAACAGGAATGTATGAGAGCAGACAGCCCAGAGCAGATGTCAGAGTATACAACAATTTAATGTAATCAAGAAAGTGTCATATCTGTAGGTTAGGTTATTAATATCATTGTTAAGAGCAACCACTTATTGACCTTTTGCTGAACATTTATGTGCATTATCCCTTTTAATCTTTTCACTGACGTAGCTGCTGCTATTCTGTTTACAAGTTAGAAAACCTGAGGTCACACATACTACTTGGTGATTCTGGAGCATTTAGTTAGTTATTTTGGAATGCAAATAATTGAAAAGAAAAAAGGAATTCTTACCTATGCAAGAGTACAAAATTGTAGATTAATATATGTGGAAAAGTAAAGAAATAAGTGGGTTAATAGCCTTTGTGTGTAAAATAATCATACAGATTAATAACCCCTGTAGTTATTAACATATTAGAAAGTGATTGGCCTTACTAGGTACCTATGAAATAAAATACTCAATTAAGTTAAAAGTACTATTTTTTTTTCTTTCCTGTTTTAGGACCATAGTGTTAGTTTGTGAGAATGGCTGACTTCTTATCCTTTAAGACCCAGTGTATAGAACCACCTCATTGATGCCTTTTTGAACTACAGCAGGTGCTCAAATAACGTTTCATTATAAGGTTGATGAGATGCTGTAGGAACTAAACTTTTGTTTATATCTATTAGCCTGTGGTAAAATTGGTTTGATACATGTCGTTTTGCTTAAAGTCACAGAACCTAATGGCGTTAGGTGAGGACTTACTATACTCAATAAATAAATTATTTCCTGTATCTCAGCACTCGGATGATTTTCTTCTTTGCACTTAACTTTTCAGGGTCACATTTTTATTTACTCACTTTACTGTCTTTCTCCTCTACCGGACTCTAAGCTCTGAGGGGAAAAACATAGTATTTGGCATCTGGAAAGTTGAATGAATAAACAGGATGAATAAAAGAGAAGTGAATGAAATGAATAAAATGAGAGACCATTTTTAAAATTCTTGTTGCTGAAATTTTAAACGAAAAATATTCTCTGTAAATAAAATGGGATGGATAATAGTCATTCTACTGCTTGGTAAATTGGTGTTACCTTTCAGAATGGAAATTTTGTAAAAGGTAGCAAAAGCTAAACGTTCATGCCTTTTGACCCAGTAATTTTACTTCTTGGAATCAGTCCTAAAGAAGTCATCTCTGCCAGTAGGTGGGGAACCTTTCTTCCTAGCTCTTCCTATGTTTACTGGTACTCCTTTCTCAGAAAAGTAGATAGGTCCTATTGGGCCACATTTTGTAGTTGTCTTCTGCTTCCTCTTTCTTATCCCTCAGTGAGTAAGATATGCAAAGGACGTGGCTAGGCCTGGTAATCTTGTATTCTCACACTCTCACAAAAGTCTTCAAGAGTTCTTACTGCTTGGGGCACCTCTGTGATCTGTGGTAAGTTTGGATTTGGGAAGACTACTTTCAGGAATCATTTCTATAGTTTGTTCCTAGAGATGTTTCTCTGACCTTGTAGAGCACCCAAAACCTTGAGGAAAAGGTGCGTGCAGCATTCTCTCCTGAGCTTGAAGCTGGCTTTTGGTGTTGCTATTGCCACTGATGGTCTTTCTTCTCTTCCTTTGGGAGAATAAGAGGAAAAAAATTTAAAAAATAAATTGGATTTGGGCTTTGGGGTAAGGCAGAGACCTTGTTCAAAGGGTAGTGCTCTGATCCAGTTTACCAAAGAACCTTGCCTTGGGTTATGGAGTAATAATGCAGCTAAAAGTGGTATTTTGATATGCCATGTGATAACCCCTACCAATTCACCCCCTCCCTCCCTCACTGTCCTGACTGCTCCCAACCTTGCATCCTTGCAGTATGAGATATATTTCTTTTTTTTTTTAATCCTCACCCTAGTATATGTTTTTATTGATTTAGAGAGAGAGAGAGAGAGAGAGAGACAGAGACATCGATGTGAGAGAGAAACATCAGTTGGTTGCCTCTCCATATGAGTCCCCACCTGGTATCAAACCAACAACCTGGATATGTGCCCTGACTGAGAAACAAATCTATGACCCTTTGGGGCATGGAAGGATGCTCCAAGGAAGTCACATCAGCCAGGGCTCTCTCTCTCTCTTTTTTAATTGATTTGAGAGAGAGAAAGCGAAAGAGAGAAAGAAACATTAATTGTTACTCCAGTTATTCGTGCATTCATTGGTTGATGCCCTGACCAGGGATTGAACTTGCCAACTGGGCATATGGGAATGATCCTCTAACCAACTGAGTTACCTGGTCAGGGTGAGATGTATTTATGTGGGTCACTGTCAAACTTGGAAAGCTATTTGTTCTAGCCAAAATATAATTAGTAATGCCCCAAACTTCTCTTTTGTTGCATCATTCTTAAATGGGGGAAAGATTTATGGACAGAGATTTAGGCTTAATATATTGTAAAATTTGAACAATGAAACATTATGACTGGCTTAATAAATCATAATGATCTATTCTTTCAGGTTATTTGTTCAAGATAGTATTCTCTTATCTTTCTTCAGTGTTTTTATGGTTTGCAGTGAAGGTCCAGAGGTTAGCAATAGCTTTCTTAGTTCTTCGTAGAGTCAGTGGAGCCTTAAGAAATAACTAGTCTACCATAATATTCTGGTAACAGCACAGAGAATCAGATTTGAGCCCCAGTTCTGTGACAGCCTTGGGCAGAGTATTTAACTTCTTTGTCTCTGTTTACTCATCTGTAAAATGGAGCTAATAGAGCATAATTACAGTTAGGTTACCCTGAATAGGAAATATGATAATGAATGCAAAGTATTCAACTGCTGCTTCGGTTTCCAGTAAGTAAATTCCAGGCTGTTTTCCTTTTACATTGTTGAATTTCTCTGTGTCTTAATTCCTCCTTCAGCTCACTTTTCAATTAATATTATTAGGTACTTCTTAGATAATAAAAACTTCTCTACTTCAAAAGAGTTTGAGACAGTTAAAATCAGAAGATAATAAATGTGAAAAGTACTGCACAAAGTTGTGGTGGTATTAATTTAAGTAGTAGCCATAAAAGGAAACCTGTTTGCATTGCATATGAGCTGATTAATAACTCTATGTCCAAATGAGTAGAATCAGCAGTTGATTGATTGGAATAAATAGATACTTGCAGTTCTCTAAAAGTGTCAGCCAACCTCTTTTCTGCCTTTGGACCTTTGCAGTTATTCCTTTTGCCTGGAATATTCTTTCTGTCCCCACCCCTCATGCCTATTTCTTCCTTATCACCTAAAATAATACCACTTTATAAAGGTCTTCCCCTACCATCCAATCTGAGTAGCTTCCAGTTGATTTAAAAAAAAATTTGTTTTCTTTATTGATTTTAGAGAGAGGAAGGGAAGAGAAAGAGATAGAAACATTGATGAGCGAGAACATCGATTGGCCACCTCTTGTATGCCCCCCACTGGGGATTGGGCCCACAACCCTGGGCATGTGCCCTAACCGGGAATTGAACCGGTGACCTCTTGGTGCATGAGTCGACGCTCAACCACTGAGACACACCAGCCAGGCTCCAGTTGATCTTTTAAAAATCACAACATTAGCCCTGGCTGGTTTGGTTCAGTGGTTAGAGCGTCAGCCTGCAGACTGAAGGGTCTTGAGTTTGATTTCTGGTCAACAACACATACCTGGGTTGCAGGTTCAATCCTTGCCCTGGTTGGGGTCATGTGGGAGGCAACCAGTTGATGTGTTTCTGTCACATCGATGTTTCTTTCTCTCTCTCTCTCTCTCTTCCCCTCTTCCCTCCCTTCCACTCTATCTAAAAATTAATGGAAAAATATCCTTGAGTGAGGATTAATAAAATAAGACAAAAAAATCACCACATTAATTATTACTTGGTTCTCGATTTTATTTTGTTTTTTCCCTCCCCAATGAGAATGTAAGCCTTCAAGAGCAGGGACCTTGCCTGTGTCGTTCATTTACTTTTTTTCTGAATGTTTGAAGATAATGTAAAATATGAAAAATTACCCATGATTGTACTTCCTAGAGATAACCATTGTTGATAATATGTTATGTGGCTTTCTAATTTTATTTTCTATATGTGTGCTTACATATTTGTAAATGTCTGTGATTATGCATTTATACCATATTTCATTGAGTCTAAAAATGAACATTGTTACTGTATTTTTTGTCTGAAATTGGGATGCCATGTAATTAAGGGTATGCCATGTTTGAATTGACAGTATTTTTCTTTCTCAGTGGCATATAACATGAGGATGTGTCTTAAAATCTAGAGCATCTTAGATTTGGTAATATTTGAAACAAAAGTGAGATCATGATGCTCAATTCTTTCTCCACCTAAATATCTTGAGCATTTCCTTATATCACTAAATTTAGATCTCATTCTTTTTTTTTTCCTCACCCGAGGACATTTCTCCATTTTTTTGTTCAGATAGAGCGGGAGTGAGAGAGAGGAAAAGAGAGAGAAACATCAATGTGAAAGGGACACATCAAGTGGCTGCCACCCATACGACCACCCAGGGCCGGGGACAAACTACAACCGAGGTACATGCCCTTAGCAGGAATCGAACCCGGGTCTCTCAAGACCGCAGGCCAACGCTCTAACCTCTGAGCCAAACCAGCCAGGGCTAGATCTCATTCTTAACAGATATCTAATAAATTATTAAGGGAGTATCTTAAATTGTTCAACCAGTTCCTCTTGATGGACATTTGGAGCTTTTCCCATTTTTTTTGTTAAAACAGTGCTATGTTGCCCGGCCAATGTGGCTCAGTGGCTGAACATTGACCCAAGAGGTTGCCAGTTCGATTCCTGGTAAGAGCATGTACCCACGTTGTGGGCCCGATCCTCAGTGGGGGGCATGCAGGAGGCAGCCAGTCGCTGTTCTCTCTCATCGATGTTTCTGTCTCCCTCCCTCCCTCTCTCTCTCTAAAAATCAATAAAGAAAAAAACAAACAGTACTATGTTAAATATCCTTGTCTATATCTTTATGCCCTTGAGTGAAATTTCTTTTTAAAATATATTTTTATTGATTTTTTTTTTAGAGAGGAGGGGAGAGAGATAGAAACATCTATGTGAGAGAGAAACATCGATTGGCTGCCTCCTGCACGCCCCCTACTTTGGATCTAGCCTGCAACCTGGGCATGTGCCCTAACAGGGAATCAAACTGGACCTCTCAGTCCATGGGGTGACGCTGAATCCACTGAGCCACACCAGCCGGGCGAGTGAAATTTCTTTTGATTAAATTCCTAGATCATTGAGTATACATATGTATTTTCTAGTGTAAGAGGGTGCCTGTTTCCCTGTACCCTCAGTAGTCTTGCATTTTCAGAAATTTAAAAAATTTTTGTTAACCTAGGAAGTATAAAAGTATCCTCACATTTTATTTTTTAAAGAAAGGATGAGGGAGCTCTTTTTTTTTATTCTCACCTGAGGACTTTTTTTTTTTTTGCATTTATCATCAGATAGAGTGGGAGGGAGAGAGGGAGGAAGAGAGAGAGAGAGAAACATTGACGTAAGAGAGAGACATTGACTGGCTGCCACCCACACAACCCAAGCGGGGCCTTGAATGAAGTGTAACCGAGGTATGCGACCTTAGTGGGAACTGAACCCGGGACTCTGGTCCGCAGGCCGACGCTCTAACTGCTGAGCTAAACTGGCCAGGGCTGTCCTAATATTTTAATATAATTTCTTTGATGATGAATGAGATTGAGCTTTTTTTCACGTTTCTTAGCTGTTTTTATTTCCTCTTCTGTGATGTACTTGGGCATACGATAGTAGACCTTTAATTGGCTGGCATATTTGTTTGAAGCTGTGCATTATGTTAATTTTTAGGAACAACTTTTAGGGCACAACCCACCCTGCGGAGGGCAGGCAAGAGGACTTTATAAGGATCCAAGATTCGTGGAGAGACAGAATTTAGTAATAATCAAATTTATTTCCTTTATAATGGAGACCAGGAAGGGTTACAGCATCATCAGTTTGTGAACTGAATACTGGAACTTAGACTATGCTGTTAGTCTTTAAACTTTAAATGTTCCTCTTCTCTTTAATGTGAGTTGTTTGTAATACAGTAGTAGTAGATTAGTAGTTGTGAAATAGGGGACAACTCTGGCACAACTCTGGCACTTCAGAGCTAGAGATTAAATCTATGATATAAGATTAGATTAATACAGTTGTGGTTTTTTTTTTTGCATGTTGCCAAAATATTCTTGTTAACATTTAAAAAAATTTTTTTATCCTCACCCGAGGACATTTTTTCATTTTTTGTTCAGGTAGAGTGGGAGGGACAGAGAGGAACAGAGAGAGAGAGAGAAACATCGATGTGAAAGACACACATCAAGTGGCTGCCACCCGCATGACCAACCAGGGCTGGGGACAGACTGCAACCAAGGTACGCACCCTTAGCGGGAACCAAATCCGAGTCTCTTGGGACCACAGGCCAATGCTCTAACCACTGAGCAACACTGGCCAGGGCCTTGTTAACATTTTTGAGCACCGTTGCTATGCCAGAGTCTGTCAGTTTCAAAGACATATCATATGGACTCTGCCTTTTAGGTTCCACTGTAGCCAGTGGAGGAGATAGCTAGAAGGTACATAGAACACAAAGAGCACAGAGGAAGGTGCTGAGTCTAACAGAGTTTAAGGAAGGGCTCCTAGAGTAGATATGATAAGATCAACTGAGTATTGAAGGATGACTAAGGGTTAGCTGGGGGGTAGTAAGTAGTAAAGGATATAACAATATGAGAGAAGACATGCTTAGGTGAAATGTACTACAAGTAGTAGGGTATTCTTGAACAAAGTCTGAGGTGAAACTGACTAGGATGAGTCTGGGGAGATAAGCAAGAACCAGATGATGGAGGACATTAAATGCCATACTAAAGATTCTACATTTTATAGGTTAAGGGGAGTAATTTTGAGTAATAGCATGGTTAAATTTGCATTTCAGAGATCATTGCCTGAAGATTTAGGGGCAAGTCCAAAGGCAAGGAGACTTACTGGGAAATAGTTCTGGTAATCCATGTGAGAGAATTAAGACCTTAGCTCAGTGGCAATTTTTTACTGGAAAAATCAGTCATTTCTCTTAGTTTATATAATATTTGGCCCTCTCCCTCTGAGATTAAATTTTATGAAACTGGGTTTATTATTTTGCACAGATGATAGTCATTATAGTCATTGTCCAATTGTTGTTCCTTTAGGTCTATAAGTTGAACTTTTATATAAATAAACTGCCTGACTGGTATGGTGCTATATGGAGATAGTTAATAGGTGTGCGTGTGTTTTTTTTTTTTGTTTGTTTTTTTAATTATAAAAATTGGGAGATGTTAGCCCTTTTGGTATGCTTAGTGGTTGTCTTAGAGGGAAATAATTTTGGAGTAGTTTGCCTTTTGGGTAAAAGTAATGATTCGTTAGACTAAATTTAGGTTGTATAATTTCTTAAGTTACATGAATTTATAACTTTTCTGTGCTAATTTTCTTTTCTTTTTTTTTAAAGGTAATTAGCAAAAGATGGTGGATCGCTTGGCAAACAGTGAAGCAAATACTAGACGTATAAATATAGTAGAAAACTGTTTTGGAGCAGCTGGTCAACCCTTAACTATACCTGGACGGGTTCTTATTGGAGAAGGAGTATTGACTAAATTGTGCAGAAAAAAGCCCAAAGCAAGGCAGTTTTTCTTATTTAATGATATTCTTGTATATGGCAATATTGTCATCCAGAAGAAAAAATATAACAAACAACATATTATTCCTCTGGAAAATGTCACTATTGATTCCATCAAAGATGAGGGAGACTTGAGGAATGGATGGCTTATCAAGACACCAACTAAATCATTTGCAGTTTATGCTGCCACTGCCACTGAGAAATCGGAATGGATGAACCACATAAATAAATGTGTTACTGATTTACTCTCCAAAAGTGGGAAGACGCCCAGTAATGAACATGCTGCTGTCTGGGTTCCTGACTCTGAAGCAACTGTATGTATGCGTTGTCAGAAAGCAAAATTCACACCTGTTAACCGTCGTCACCATTGCCGCAAATGTGGTTTTGTTGTCTGTGGGCCCTGCTCTGAAAAGAGATTTCTTCTTCCCAGCCAGTCCTCTAAGCCTGTGCGGATTTGTGACTTCTGCTATGATCTGCTTTCTACAGGGGACATGGCCACATGCCAGCCTACTAGATCGGACTCTTACAGTCAGTCATTGAAGTCTCCTTTAAATGATGTATCTGATGATGATGACGATGATGACAGCAGTGACTAAGGACATATTTTGAGGTTTTTAATTGGGTGTGACTATCTGAGAAGTCAGCTTTAGGGAGAATGTATAATTCTGAGCTCTCTCTCAATTTTGCTGTAGCCATGAATTTGCCTGAGAAACTTTTAACCTATGTGCCTCAATATATTTTCTAGAAAATAGGTCCTGTTGTCATTCCCCTCACCCCCACACTGCCACCCATCCCCACAGCTTCCCACTCTCCTACAGGGATAGCCTATTGCAAATATAGCACATCAAGTTTTGGTTTCTTTTTCTTGTTTAATTTTAGATTATTTTCTTGGAAGATCGGGAAAAGGTGTTTATTTAACAGATCATGTACTACATTGTTTATTATATGTTCTGTTATATGGAAAAACTAAAAGCAAAGAATGATGGAGAAAGGAGTATAATGTGATTAGTTAATAATATTATAAGCTTTTTTCTAACCATTCTGTCTAATGGTTAAGACACCAGTAAAAAAAATACATGATTTGGGAATACTTTGGCTTTTTCATATACCAAGTGGTGCCTTATAATAGCACTGTTACATGAAACAAACCCCTACTTTCTCACTTTTTAGTTTGTTTTAAAAATACACTGGTGCTCTTTGAGGTGATAAAATGAGTGTTTATGAATGGATATAATTAGAAAATACTTGTCATCTGACAGCTACAAATAACTAAATTTAGAGGTCATTCTATATGAATAAATCTTTTCCATAAAAGTTATATTTTTATGTTTTATAGGTACCAAATTATAATCGTCAAATATACATTTTAAATTAATAGGTCATTCTTAGGAATTTGGTTTGAAATTTATACAATATAGAATTTTCATATTGCATTGGTTTCTGTTTTTAGTAAGACATAGGTATAAATTCATCTTGTTTTAATATTTCTGTAATGAAAAATCTTATAAATCCTTTAAATAGATTAAAATCCTATGATAGAGCACAGATCTATTTAGGCTAAGATTTGGAAGAAATAATATGTAAAAACGGCCAAGACAGACCAGTAAGGGTTGACTAGACTTCTGTGGAAGTATTGTCTATTTCAGTGTGGAACTATCTTGAATTTACAAATATAGTGTTATATTTTATTAAGTTTTGTAAAGTCCCAAACAATATTTCTATTTTTGTAAAACAATTCTTTGTTTAATCTGTTTCTGAAATCGTTTGCAATGTATGGAACTAGAGTAGCAATTGATCTTTCTAAATTGTGAACTTGACCAAGTCACTAGATTGCTTTTGAGAAGTGTTAATTTTTCACTCTGCTTTGAGGCAGCCATTAGGTTGAAAGTATATTTATCATATAAAACTTGATGCATTTTGCACTACTCCATTTGTATGCTGCAAATAACTAGTCTTTCAAATATGAAAAATCAGTCTAAAGATTGTTTTAAATCCTAAATTCTTTTGTTTTTAAACCTTTAAATCTGGATATATTGCATATGTTATGAGAGGTTTGATTCAGTAAGTTGTGATGGAGGATTCTTTGGATTGGTTAAGGCACTAACTTTACTGTTACATTGTGAAAGCACCTGAGATATGTAGGTCTCCCTATAGGAAATGTGAAAGAAAGGCACAATAAGTTTGTTTTCGTATCAGATGGACTTTTGTTTCCAAGCAATAGATCATATAATCAACATATCTGGAAAGGACCATGAAACCTGAGAAGTGCTAATGGAGACTTATGGTACATAGGAGCCTAGCAGAGTTAGAAACTAAGGGGAAATATTTGTTCTGTGGTAACATTTGCATTGTCAACCTCTTGACTTTTTTTTACAATAAAAAATGCTTTACAACTTAACTTCTGTTCTGAGCATATGTGACTTGAAGATTTCTTCCCTCTTACTAAGGTAATGGAAATATGCATTTTTTGCTCATTCAAACAGCTGTGAGTGCCTTCATTGTACCAGGCATTGTTCTAGGCCCTTGGGGTAAAGCAGTGAACAAAAATTCTCCCCTTTTCATGGAGTTTACATGCAAGTAGAATCCATGTGTTTTCTTCTGGATTCTTTTCTGTAATTTTTAAAGATTTTATAAATCTTAGTTTTATATAAACCTGAAATGATTTTGATGCCAATTTTTAAAATTCTTTTTTAAAATTGATTTTATAAAGAGAGGAGGGGGAGAGAGATAGATAGAAGCATTAATGGGAAAGAACATTGCTTGGTCGCCTCCTGCATGCCCCCTGCCCCACAACCTGGGCATGTGCCCTGACCGGGAATCAAACTGGCGACCTCTTGGTGCATGGGTTGGTGATTTTCAACCACTGAGCCACACCGGCTGGGCTTTGATGCCAAATTTTCATGCCGTTTTTCCTGAATGAAATTTACTTGTATTGTACTGGACCCCCAGTCTTTTATCCAAATTGGTAACCACTGGTGTAAAGGAAGCAAGATTCTGTAGATGCCAAGGAAAAGTATTAAGTTGAATACAGGATTTATGCTTTTGGGTAAAGTGCATACAATGACCATAGTTAATATAAAGTCATTTGTTTATATATCTTTATCATCTTCATGCTGAAATTCTTATAAATAGGTAGTATTAAATTGTATGCCTTGCCCACCCAGTGTGGCTTAGTGGATTGAGTGTCGTTCCATGGATTGAGATGAGAGGTCCCAGTTTGATTCCTGGTCAGGGCACATGCCCGGGTTGTAGGCTCAATCCCTGGTAGGGGGCGTGCAGGAGGCAGCCAATCGATGTTTCTCACATTTATGTTTCTCTCTCTTTCCCCTTCCCCCCCCAAAAATCAATAAAAACATATTTAAAAATATTGTATACCTTATGATTCTTGAGGGGTTGTAGTACTTTAGTTGCAATCTCCTTTCTTTCGGGTAGGGTAATTTTATTCTTAAATACATGTAGTTTTAAACAGTATAGTAGTTATTATCTACATATTCACATGTATTAGATTGCTATACATTTTATAAGATAAATGAAAGTTACTAGTGATATTCAGGATGAAAATACATAAATTGTGTTTAGTTAATTGATAATAATTTAAAAATCTTTAAAAGGTAAATTATTTCAGATTCCTGCAACATTTATTATTATGTCAGGCTTTATAGTATTGGTGTTGGGTGTTTTAAACTCTTTAAAGATATTTTTCTACAGGGGTTATTTCAATGGCACTCTCTCAATATCAAATCAAAATAAATTCCTTAAAAATTATTTTGTATTTGAAATTTTTTTACAGCCACATATTTACCAAATTTCAGCAGTAGAAAGCAGAATTTAAACCATATAACTGATAGTATTTCTTTTTGTGTCCACTCTAAATTTAGTAGTTGGCAAATAGAAATTGGCAACAGTAGAATAGCTTGATGTGACAATTTTATCAATTTAATCAAGAATATAATGGTAGAGAAAATTGGGATAATATTGCTAATACTATCTTGTTCAAACCATTATTGTATTTATTCACACTAATTAAAATGATTGCTGTAAAGCTTTGATGGTATTCGCTTAACAGTTTATCAAGAAAAAAGTAGTACCACTTTAATCAGATTTTGTGCCTGCATGCTCTTGTCAGCTTAATGTTTAGAGAGAATATATGCTTAACTGCCGTTTGTTTTATTCCTCACCCGAGGATATTTTTCTCCTTATCATCAGATAGAGTGGGAGAGGGGGAGGGAGGGAGAGAGAGAGTCAGAGAGAAACATAGATGTGATAGAGCCACATTGACTAGTTGTGTCCTGCACGATCCAACCACAGCTGGGGACGAACTGCAACTGAGGTATGTGCCCTTGACCGGAATCGAACCCACGACTCATTGGTCCACAGGCCAGTGCTCTAACCGCTGACTCAAACCGGCCAGGGCCATTGCTCTTTATTTTTTAACAGCTTCTTGAGATACTAGTCATGTACCATACAATTCACCTATATATAGTATATAATTCAGTGGTTTGTAGTATATTCCCTAAAACCATCACTGGTGTTCCTAGAACATTTTCATCATCCCCCAAAGAAACCCTGTACCCATTAGCAGTCACACCCCAATCCCCGAGCCCTAGGCAACCACTAATATACCAGCTCTGTCTCTATAGATTTGTCTTATCTGGACATTTCACAAATGAAATCATACATGATGTGGTTTTTGGTTACTGGCTTCTTTCACTTAGTGTGTATTTCAAGTTCATTTGTGTAGCATGTGTGAGTAGTTCTTTTTATTGTCGATATTCTGTTGTATGGATGTCCTACATTTTAAAATATTTTCATTGATTTTTAGAAAGAGAGGACAGGAGAGGGAGAGAGGAGAGAAACATTGATGAGAGAGAACATGGATTGGCTGGCTCCTGCATGCCCCCCGCTGGGGATCAGGCCCACAACCTGGGCATTTGCCCTGACTGGGAATTGAACTGGCGACCTATTGATGCATGGGTTGACACTCAACCACTGAGCCACACTGGCCAGGCAGATGTTCTACATTCTAATCATCAGTTGGTACTTGGGTTCTTTCCACTTTTTGGCTATTATGAATAATGTTATGAACATTTGTGTACAACTTTTATGTGGACATGTTTTTATTTTTCTTGGGTATATACCTAGGAGTGGAATTGCCAGGGTATATGTTATCTCTATGCTTAACCTTTTGGGGAACTGCCAGTCTTTTCCAAAGTGGTTGCATCATTTTCCTTTCCCACCAGCAGTGTAGGAGGGATAAATGTCTCTGCTTCTTTCCTAACACTTAACTGTCTTTGATTATGAAATGTGAAATTTCTCATGGTTCTGAAATTTTCCTAATAGCTGATGATGTTGAGGATATTTTCAAGTGCTTATTGGTTATCTGCATATCTTCTTTGGAGAAATGTTTACTGTGATCCTTTGCCCACTTTTAAATTAGGTTGTTTTTAATAATTGAGTTGTAAGAGTTATTTATATAACCTGGATGCAAGACCCTTATCAAATACATGGTTTACAAGTGTTTTCTCCCATTCTGTGAATTATCTTTTTACTTTCTTGATGGCAATGTTTGAAGCACAAAGGTTTAATTTTGTTGAAGTCTCAATTTATCAATTTTTTCTTTTGTTGTTATATCTAAGAAGATTATTGCCTAACTCAAGATCATGAAGATTTACTCTTATGTTTTCTTCTGAATCTGATGAGGACTCTTGGTTATTGATATGCAGAACAGTTCCTTAATATTACCTCCAGAATTAGAATTCAGAACTATTTCATAATGAATTAGATAATTCATTAGTGAATTTCCAGTCATGTAGAACAGCAGTGTGTTCACATCAGCCTTTTCTTTCAAGACAGGATAAAACTACTTTTGGTTGTACTGCAGGCATGCTCAGAAAATAGAAATATTCTTCTATACATCTATGACATAGTTTATTGTTTTTGGGAGTTGCCTTTATATAACTTGGCTTTGTGGTCCAATTACAGTCAGAAAGAATGACTCAAGATAAAATATTCTGACTTAAGACCACCTATTACAAAATAGGGTAAATTTGTAAGTTTTGATACCATGCTTTCTTATAGGAATATTCAAACGACTTAAAATTCCAGAGCTACTTAAAGCAAACTTTTTATTCCATAAATATTTATTGCGTACTTTTACTGTGTCTGCTACTATTTATTCCTTAATTTTAAAAAGATAATGCACCAGTGTTTTTGTAGAATGACCCTCAATAGAGCTTTGCCTGATGTTTCCTTATTATTAGATTCAGATTATATGCGAAGGAAGCAGAATATCATAGAAGTTACGACGTTTTCCTACCCTGTTTTATCAGGTGATACTCAATTTCAGTTTGTACCATTATGTATGTTAACTTTGATCCCTTGATTAAGGTGGTGTGTCCCAGACCTTTTCATTGTATGGTGACTCTTTTTATAGTAAGTATTTTGTGAGGTGGTGCTTTGGAGACTATTCCTCACCAAACTTTTATTTTATTTGTTTCTTTTATGGACTCAGAGTTTCCTAGTTAAGTGTTTCTCAAGCTTGAGTGTGCATGAGAGTCCCTTGGAGGGCTCGTTAAAACCTGGACTCTTGGCCTCGTCTCCCGAGTTCCTGATTCTGTGGGACTGGGGTGGGACCCAAGTGTTTGTATTTCTAACAAGTTTCCAGGGGATGCTGTTGCTGCTGGCCCAGGTAACCATACTTTATTAACTGTTGTTATATTCTGGTGCTCAAATTGTCCCTAATTTGGCCTTTGGCAAACTGGCTTTTTGGCCTATTGACATCTTATTTGCGACTTCTTTGCTGCAACAGGATGTTCTAGGCTCATCTTGAAGTTTTCCTGCTCCAATCTAGGAATTAACCATTTCTCCAAAGACTCTTGATTTCTCTTGGTGGGCAAGTGGTACTTAGAAGCAAGAATCTGGGCACTAGGTATGTTTGTGGCTTTGGGGAAAGTAACCACTCCCAGGACCTTTCAGGAGACACATCTAGGGAACATGTATGTGTATGTAGGTATATGCATGCACACATTTGTATTCAAACTTCTGCATCTATCTACACGGAAATCCATGACTTCATACAGATACCTCCAATTCTAACAACACTTTAGGCTCTAACACTTCAAACCAGGCTAATCCTATCGTGGGATGCCCCCTCTTACCCTGCCCCATGCTGGGCCTTCTGGGATGCCCTTCACATCTTGTTTGGTTATCAACACCTCATTCTGGGCTGCCTTCACATATGGATACTCTCCACACCTCATTTGGGCCCCAGCATTCAACAGTGGATCACCTCTCTGGGGATGCTGTGACATTCCACTCTGGGTCACCCACGTACAAGGACACTTGACCCTGCTTGGTCTCTGGCTCCCTTCGTGGGGTGACTACCATACCTGAGCACCCTCCTTAACTGCTTGAGCTTTGACACCAGGCCCTGAGCCTTACCCCCATGTGGATGCCCTCCTCATTTGTGTGCCAAGCTGCCTACATGGGAGGATGCCTTCTCACTTTGCCTGGGCTCCAACTAACCATGCCAGGCTACTAACCCATGTGGACACCTTGCCCTCTTTGGGCCCTGACTCATGCATTAGGCTGCCTAGACTTCCCCCAACAACACACCCCAACCCTATCTTTGATTCTAAAACCCCCCACACAGACCCCTATCTTG